AACTGGCTTTCTTGATGAAAAACTACCTACATGTATCTATAGAAGGGCTTCTGTGAAAAGACTCTTTTAAAAGTTATTTTCTGTTATTTTCTCATTCCTCCCTTACCTCTCTATGGATAGCGTCCACAGTAAGCCCTAGATGTAGACACGAACTATCTTACTTCATGAGCAAGTAGAAGCCAATGGTTCTTGTTTTCATTAGTCCTGCAGACGCAAAGGCTGGCCTGGAATGAGCAGCAGGACAGCAGTTAGGGCAGCACAAGCGCTTTGATGTAGTGTGTGTTTGCGTGATTCACAGCCTGAACTGACACAATGCTGCCCATGTCTCGTCTGCGCTTTGGGATGACGTTGGGAGGGTTTTAGGGTAAGTGATAGCTGCCTTGTTATCGCGGCTTAATGACACTGTGCCCCATTTGAGCTGTGGTGACTCCTTGTGCATGCTCTCGAAGTACAAAAAATAACACAAAATAATTTCACCTGTTCTGCCGTAACGGCGGTAAACCAAATTATCTGACATCTGTTGTAGTTCAAAAAGCCCACACTGAGAGTTCCCACAGCCCAGCTCATGTGTTCTAACTTACGTGATACAGAACGTAACATCATCCTTTGCCTCTGAACTGCAAATTTATTTTCTCGTTTGTGGCAGGTGAATCCAGTCTGCTCTATGCATACTTGAGGTTTGCGTGCTTGCTTTCGTGGTTTTGCAAGTCAGGATATTAGTCATATTCATCACTACACGTTTATGGTCCACCCATAATCCATGTTACGTGCTTATACAAGGCTGGGGTGAGACAACATGGACGTGGCTGCCATTACTCAGTGATATGATTACTTCTGTTACAGCAACTGCATGATGGATATCACTGGGCTACCACAGAACTGACTTGGGTACAAATGCTTTTCCAAATTCAGAGACGTTCCAGTTCTTCCTTGGGAGCTGTTTTCTAATGCCTCTAATTATTTACACAAGAACGGAAATTCTGATCCAGAAAACAAACTGAAAAGCTAATCCTATGTGGAAAAAGTAGCTGATATGTTCACAAGAGGTTGTAGTCTTTGTTACTTAAATATTTAATGTTTTTCCCCTCATGCTTTTAAATTCAACATTTGCCTGGTTAATCTTGGGGTTCACGTTCATCAAGGAGGCCAAGAGTTTCTTGAAATTTTGCTATTATATTGTTAACATGTCCTCTTTAAAATCATAGTCACCATTGAATTCAAAACTTTCAATTTTAGATACAATTCCCAATAACTTTATAGTGATCGTATATATTGTAATAATGTGTGTATGTATAGTAATATATATACACTATATAATGTAGTGTAAATATATAGTAAAATATATATACACACTATATAGTATAGTAATAGTGTGTGTGTGTATAGAGTAAATAGCCCCAGTAGACAGCTAGTTATAAACCTGCCAGTTTGACTCCTGAAAAATAAGATACACTTAAAAATCAATGATAGAACGACAAAGTGGAGTGTTTGTACAGGCTCTGATTCTGTCTCCGCTGAAACCAAAGAAGCTCTAATTAATTTTTAAATGGGGTAAGTGGACGTTGAGAAGTCTCTTTGCAGATGGAAATCAGATCAACCTCTACTTCAAATCAGCTGTGCTTCCAAACGCGAGGGGCTGGATGGAGTGTGCTCCATGTCCTGTGGGAAGACAGAATACTTACCTTCCACAGGAAAACACTGATTTCATTATTTGGCAAAGACCAATTCTAATGTTGTCTGTGGCAGTGATTTACTTGGTAGTGCATAAAGAGTTGTGTTCCCATTTATAAAGTACCTTAAGAGAAATGCTAGCTCCCCTTGAAGAGCGAGACTCTTAGGAAACACCAGTATGCTTCCCTGAACACAATCAGATCGGCTTTATTTTATTTTATTTTTTTTCAACAAAGACCTTATATCACATTTTTCCAGTAACATATATGTTCCAATATGTATCCAAGTCTTTCTAACGGTGAAGCTGCTATACAAACCTTCTGATCAGATCGTTCAGTTCACAGTCAGCATTTGGTGAAAAGAGCGAAACTCTAGAAAACCCCTTTGAGCATTTCCATGAGGCTGGTCTGCCATACCTCAGGTGAGACTGAAAGAACAGGCTTAGAATCCCAGTTAGCTTTTCTAATTGGGCCACTAAGTTAAGAATTAAAGTCGAGGGGAAGAAAAATATCCTTTTTTCTCTAACCGTTCGTAAGAACGAAGCAAGGCACATGTTGACCTCGCTCCTTGAAGGTGGAAGCTTGAATAGAAGTTTCTGTTTTGTTTTGTGGGGTTTTTTTTACAGGTTCTATCAACTACCCAGTTTAATATAAGCAGCAGAGAAAGCACTGTAACTTCAGCAGGTGAGTCTGAAGGACCTTGCCCAGAACATCCCTGTGGTCTTTCAGGAAGTGCTTTCAGCCGTCAGCAGCAGCGTCACTGCCTCGCTGTCACATCAACGCCCAGCTTACTTAACAGAAAGCACCGATGTGCCACTGACAGATCATTAATACTTTTTTTCGTTGTTTACAAATTTGTAAAAGTCATTCTGTCAATACTGGGAATAGTTCTCTCAAGTAACTGAGTTCTTACAGAATGACTGAGGTTTAAGATGTAGTTTCCCCAGCCCAAAACCAAAGGACAGCCTTCCAAACAACTTGTTTGGGTACAAAGTAAGCTCACCTCTCAAAAATCCAATAAATGACTTTATTAAATATATTCTTTTCCTCTAAAATATAAATATTCACTATACTCTTATAAATGTGGAGTAGGTCCATATTTCATTTGTCTATCCCATCCAAATATGAATCAGTCCAAAATCTGAAAATGAAGAAATAGCATCTGTAATTATCATTATTTTTTTCTATAAATATATATAATATGAATTTTCTTTGCAAACTGTTTAGTTATTCACTTATACTTCATATATTACTGAGCACCTTAGATTATATATTGTGTCATTTAATTGTTGGTACTAATAGAGGAATTTGTAGTATTTACAATGCACATACATGGTAAGTATAACATTCCAGTGATTTGTAAGTGTTTAAAGGAATACGGAGATAGTGCAGTATAGTTTACATATGTATTTAACCTACCCCACAGTATGCAAGTTTTCACTTTAACCTCTGGAACTTTTATAGGAGCCTGTGTCCGGATTTTTAAGTTACACTTTGGAACAGCAATAGAAGCGTCTCAAATCACTTTTTAAAAACTTCACACGACGTATTACTTGATGATGTGATGTGAACTCACACTCCAAGACCCGGTCCCCCAGTGTACCGACTGCTCTCAGCTTCTCAGAAGACGTTCTCCTAGAAGCTGCCAAGCCAAAGGAGACCCAAAAAACTGCCACAGAAAGTTACGTGAAGGGCAGTGGTCGCTAAATGAGAAATGTCCAGTTGGAAATTATTGGTAAGTTGTGTAACCTGTTATCTCCTACCTTGTGAATTTACACGAGGAATTAAGTGCAAGTACCGTGACGGTAAAAACAAAGTTCACAGCTCAGTGAACCCCTTCCCAGGCTTGGTTTTGCCAGGCAGGAGGTGCTGGGAGTGGGGCTGCTCTGTCAAACGGCGATTTAGCTGTTCTTCTTCAATTATTATTTTCTGTATTTGCAAATTCAGCCCATCATTTTCATTTTTAATTAGTTTTTATGATTAAAATGGAAACCTATGGAAACCACCACAAATGAATTCCTATACTGTGAACAAGCAGTATGACTTACACTCAACTCTCAAGACTTTAGCTTAAAAACAACATGGAACCAAATTGTGTTTTAGATTTTCCTCTTTGCCAGTCAAGCCACATTAAGTTGAAACTTGTGTGCTTTCTCAAGAATAAAAGAAGTGTTGTAGTATGACAAGCAAACTTCTACAAATTTCGGATTTATTACTTCCTGTACAGTTCCTGTCCTTCAAAGTGTGAATTCAGGGCGAAACGCTAAAAGCAAACAATAACCCACCCCTCTATGAAGCAGTTCTGTTTACAAAGTAAGAGCAACATAAATGCCATCCCTGCTCTGCTTCTGTCTCTTCCCACCCACTCACATTAAGCCAGTTTACTAGTTCCAGGTGCAAGCTGCGTGTATGACGCCTGACAACGAAGGTCAGCGGTCCTGCCTGCTGCTCGCTTTGTGCTCAGCGTAACTCCGAACGAGGCCAAAGCTCAGTGATTCACATGTTTTGACTTAAAACAGTAACTCGTGGTGCAAAACAGGAACTAGTAAGTTACGTGTATGGAGGTGAATGTCTTGTTTCACCAGCAAGGACTAAATCTGGGCTCGCCAAGTCATGCTCATAGGAGCAGTTCCTTCCATATTAAGGCTTTTCTGGCAGTGCAGCTCGTGTTCGTGCCTTTCCTCACTGTTGTGTGCTGCTTGAATAACTTTCCTGATCTAAGCTAGAAAACTTAAAAAAAAATCAAGTCTTCCTCACATTTGTTTTTCCATCAAGACCGCACAAGCAGCCTCAGCAGAGCTGACGGGGTGACACAGTAGAGGTAGGAGGACAGGAAGCTCAGCACAGCTTTCTGTTGGAAAACTGTTGTGGAAACGTGCTGGCAGAAGCTTAGGTCATGCTTCAACATGGGTTCAGGTAACTTTTACCTGAGCCGGGGGTCCCGGTAGCTGAAACTCATTAAGCCATTCTGGGAAATCACTATAAACACACATCAAGTGTGTTCTCCTACCTCTGCCCCACTGACAGCCGGCTCTCAGGACATTGCTGTAGCCTTGGCTCCATCGCTAGGAATGTACGCACGATGTCTTTACCGTTTAATTTGAGTGTGCCCCTTGGCAGGGACCCGCCAGCTGCTCACTGACCACAGCTGTATTGCTTTAGAGCAAGGTGCGTGTTTGCCTGCTCTGCTGGGTATTCAAACAACGGGTTCTGATGGCGCCCCAAAAGAAAAAGCTTCTGTAAGTGGTGCACGTGTTAACACAGAAAAAATATTTTACTTTTGGGTGGTGGGACAATCTTATTTGGAGAACTTCTACTCAAACATCCTTGAGCTTGCATCACAACCAACACCCACTCTCGTCTGCTTAGCCCTTTACTTATTCTATATAGACAAGTACATTGAAATAGGCACAGTTTATGATTCTGAAACATTTACATATATGGTACTACAGGCTTTTACTGTCTGATATGGGATTTTAAAATCCCATTATTTACAATGAAATCCACTGTTTTCCTTGTCATGCCACCTCTTTAGCTGATCAAAATGAAACCTTGGCCTTGGAAGACTGCAGAAATGACCAAGGCCTGGTACTGAACCCCAGGCTGGTGCACGGTGCTAGCTGGTACGGGTTGCTGCTGTTGACTTTACTTCAGATTAGCATGGTTGCTCCATCTTTCTTTGAAGAAACAGATGTATCTCAGTTATGCCACCAAGCCAAGCCTTGTAATCTTTGCCGACAGGAAGGAATGAATGATGAACACAATTGGTTTTGGACAGGAATGAAGGTCCAGTTGCTGAAAGGACAGAAAGATAGCGAGTTGAGAATGATTAGATTACAGCTCAAATAAGCAATCATTTACGGAGTACTTGCTTAACTGCTGCCTAGTATTTTTAACAGACTTCTATTAGTAACAACCCTTCATTGCAACATATTGTCTTTCCTTTGCATACAGCTCCAAATATTTAGGTTACTACAAGTAAGTAACAAGCATCTTGAGAGCACATGAGATCCAAGTGCCTCTGGGCTTGCATCCACCTGGGTAAGCAACAGAAAACTGAGTCAGATGCTGCACGCAGTTTTCCAAAAGGTTCAACCCCTCCATCTTTTCAAGCGCTGTTTCTGACCAGGAATGGCGGTGAGACCGCCATGTCCAATAGGCAACGCATCTCCTGTTGGCCACAGCCGAAGCCAGGATATTGCACCTTCCACTGATGCTGCACAGTAGCTCCTCTGTTCACACTGCTGGCAGTGAGACTGAACTGAGACTTCTTTTTTTCCACAGTCACAGTTCAGAAGATCTCACCGCGTGCGTGCTAAGCATGACAGACTTGTCAGTGTGGACAGCAGGTTCAACACTAAATTCGCATCAAAACAAAACAGATTCACCTTTCCACCAGTCATGCATCAACTTTACCGAGAGCTAGTAACAAATTCCCTTCTGGAAGCCTGACAACAAGCAGTTCGCAGAGTATATGTTACCAAAGGTGATATGAAGAATTAAGCACCTGAGTGCTCAGGAACTGCTGAAAACAATTTATCAGGAGAGACCGTGTTTACATGCATAATTTATGGTATCTAAACTACTTGTAGCAATAGGCACCTTATTTTTAGGCATTGTGACAACTTAGAAAGCAGACAGTTTGCAGTACATTTGTAGTCTTCAATTTTTTTCAGCAACTAGGTGTTCAAAAATGTCTAAAACATAGCTGCTTGTCATATCATAAAGTATGTTTGAATTGATACTTATTTGTTAAGTTCTTCCACCCACTGACATTTACAAAGTGAAATGGATACACATAAAAATTCAAAAATCCGGCTATGTAGAGAACTATTTATTCTTAAATATAAGAAATCTTTCATGCCTCTTTATATGGTTTTACCATTTTATCTCTGGTTTTAGTTTATCTCATTCTAAAGCCAGAGCCTCATGCTATACTAGGAAGAAAGCACAGCGCCAAGTGCTACTGGAACCTGTACTGGCCAGCTGTTCTTAGTGCTTCTCCACCCCACCGCAGTACTTACAATTTCTCCATCCTTTCCTCCAAAGTCTAAATAAAGCATCCTTATCCCATCATCTGAGGACATTTTCAGTTTTTCGTAGGGATATTGTGCAATTGTCTTAGAGAAGGCACCATCTTGCGGTTCAGTTGTAAGAGAGAATCCATGTTCGTAATGGATGGTCAAACGGCACTCCTGGCTTTTATATGTGCAAGCTGAAGAAGGAAAGAAAATTTAGCCTGTAACATTCTTAAAAGTAACAAATTCCTTTTGGCTGCAGATACCTGTATTTTACATTCAATTTCAACACTATCGAGCGGAAGCTCACCCTTCCTAAAACTGGGCTAGTCACTCTAACCATAAACCTGCAGATTTGGAAAAACAACAGAAATCACCCTGCCGTGCGCGGTCCAAGCGAGGTTTGTTAGTTATGGTGTAAACACACAGGCTGAAACAGTGCTCGGCAGTAGCAGTACCGACGTCAGCCCTTCCGGCTATTCGCTGCATTCGTCGTGTTGCAGCATTGGTCTACAAGCTGACACAAACACCATCTAAGGAATCTGAAGAAGGCTCAGCTGGCATTTCCTCCTTCCAAACCTTGACAAAGTCACAGCTACTTTTCTTCTTCTGTCTGACATACACGGCCAGAATCAATAAAGGCGGTGCACAACGCAAGACAAAATTAGAAGCTGTACAGGGTTTCCCTAAAGTATTTTGACAAAGATCAAGACACTCCTGAGTCCTCATTAGTGTTCTGGTAATTGAAAAAAGGCCCAGCTAATTGTATATAACAGCTACTGCAGCAGAAAGTCTGCATCTTGCTCTCAGCCCAGAAACATAGGCCACGATCCAAATTAAAAAATGAGGCGTTTAGGTGTTCACATCCCAAGTTCTCTTTCCCCCCACTTTCCTGTGAATAACTGCCAAGAAAGGTCCTGGGCACTGGGATAAAAGAAGGGACTGATGCCTTCCTCCTGTTTTTGGAAAGAAAGTCTTCAATGTCACTGGGCTGAGGAGAGGGACATGCCCTCCACGTGCTTCCCCCTGAACACCCTGGTTGGTTTCCATGTCGGAGGCCCTTGCAAAGCAGCCTGAGCTCCATGGGAGGCACGGTGCCTGGCAGCCAGCAGGACAGCGTCCCCGCGCTCAGCAGCACGTGGCTGTACCTGACGGCTTCACCACCTCGGCGCTGTCCTTTGCTGTGGAGCAAATTTGTGCCTTGGCTCTAGCTCTCCCATTTTTAGGCTAAGAGATAGATAATGTTAATTTAGATAATGTTCATCTTTCACAGCCCTACCAACTGGAGGCCCAGCAGGGGAAGGACTCGCAAATCCTGGGGGCACTCAAGAGACAGGCACAGCCTCAAAGCCCCAGACCCACCCCAGGCTAGCAGCTACCTGGCTGAACAGGGCATCACCTCAGAGCATCTGCAGCTGGGGTGCTGCAGTTGATTTTGCATGTACAGAAACGCTGAGAAGTGACACCCTGATGTTCAGGGACAGAAATGACTAGCTGTCAAAATGTGGTTTTGGACTACTTTGTATTTCTCAAGTTTGCAGAGCTGGGTGAATAAATGACCAATTCATGCTTGTGAATGTGCCGGTCCTCCTCTGCCTCCTCCCTCTGCAGGAGAAACTCCCATCAGGCTCTCAAGGGTCTCCTGAGTCTCATAAAAATGCTCTTTACTGTGGGCTTCTGAACAAACCTCTGACGATCACTTCTCGGTGACATGCAGCCCTGCATGGCTGACTACAAACTTGTGTCTGAAACAACGTGCTGAAAAACAAGACTAAAAGTCTTAGAAAAACAACACCAAAATCCCTCTTGAGTGGGACTGTGTCCTGGTTTTATGGCACTGGTCACAGGTACTGCACCAGTTAGGACTGACTGGGAAAGCAAGGGGGCAATATTTTGAGCACAAAGAATCCTAAATATGCACATTTTTTAAATTAATCACCTCTAGCAGACCAGGCTTGAACTACCCACAAGGAGGTATGGAGACATGGCGCCGCAGGTGTTACTCACATGTGGTGATTTCTGTGATGAGCTCCGCGGAATTATGGCAGCCCTGCACCACGCTCCTTGTCCACAGTGAGAGGTCTCGGCTAGTCTCTGTCCTGAACAGATGGGTTTCGATCCCTTGCCTTGTACCGGTACGGGTTGCGAAAGACAAATCCACCCCAGACTGTGGGGAGCCTTTTCCTGGGCCAGAATGGACCAACCTGCAATTGGATTTGAAAACACATCAGGGAATTCTAATGCTGACACAGAGCACTGTGCCAAAATCCCCACCTGAGCGCAGCCCTGCTCTGTACACTCCTAAATGCACGTGGTTGGGAGCACGAGAACTCGCATCTCCTCTGTATTTGAGCCTAAAGTGTCTCCTAGTGACACTCAGAAGAGTGAAGGGCCAAAGCAGCAAGTACTGAAGCAGCCGGACATGCAGGTGATGATGGGGATGTCCCAGAGGGTCCTGAATTCCTAACGAGTTGTAGAAAACACCCCTTTGGATGAGGAACTGTGAGAAATCACCGACTGATCTGCTGTGATGGGGTTTGGTGCACAGATACAAGTGCTGGCTCAGATGAGGCAGCTGAATCCGGCTTTCACTATTGGGCTGCAGTTGCCATAAAGCTGAAATATCTGCAGATAAACTCTACAATAAATGCTGTCAGATAAAGTAAAATATGTAAATGCCAAAATTCTGTAAACTATGTAGATGCCAAAGTACTGTCTTGTGCATACTTTCCCATAAGGAACCTGCAAAACACAAAATGCTGCAGCTATTTGTAATCTGAAATTCTCTCGCATTTTGCTGCAATTAACATTTTTTTTTTGCCTGTTATCAACAGCTGATCTCTCATGGTCAGTAAAGGTCTGTTCATCTGGGTAAACACTAATTTCAGGGAACATTTTTGAGTGAGAAAATCAACACCTCGTAATTGTAATTCTTCTTTAAGACTGTCCTTTTGCTTTTTTTCCCTGCAGAAGCGTGGACGGCGGATACAGAACTTGCTCAGGGACATGACACTGATTCAGATGAAAATAATAATCCGGAACTCCATCACTCTTTTGAGGCTCAGGGACTAACCCTGAGAGAGTCACAAAATGAAACCATGGAAATTCTTCTGAAAAGCTTTTTTCTGTCTTGTGTCTCCTGCTTCTCTTTCTATAGGCAAACAATATACTTCCTGTGAGACTATAAAGTAAATATGTAGCATGGTAGTAGAATACTTGTGCTGAAACATAAAACACTGGATTATACTAATCATCTACTGAATGCTAATTCACCCTAAAATTATTGTTTTGCATCTGGAAGAATAGTTGCCTGTTAGCTGACACTGTAGAAGTATGCCATCAAACAGATGTTTTAAGAGGAGAAAAAAAAAAAGCAGAAAAGAAAGAAAAATCACCACTTCAGCTTTTCAGTTATTGAAACACTAACCATAGGGCATCTGAAATTTTCCCCATATCCCCGTCAGCCCACGCTGACATTTGGGATGCGCATTGTGCTGAACAGATGCATCCCTCTTTCATACCCCAATAGAAGGCTTGCAAGATTTGTTCACGCTCAGGTTCCTTTGGATTTTGAGCATCCACCTTGATTTCAGGGTCTCAGGAGGCAAGAGGCAGAGCGTCCCAGGCAGAGCTGCCCTGCACTGTGTCTGGGCAGGAAAGCCTCTTCCAGAGAGGCACCTACATGTTCTCCAAACGCTTTTTTTTTTTGTCTCCAAGAAGGACTGTGTTGGCACCTTACTCAGCTTTGATACTCAAGGCCTTTTGTATCAGAAACAGTGTGACCAGCAGGACTAGAGAAGTGAACGTCTCTCTGTACTTGGCACTGGTGAGGCTGCACCTCGAATACTGTGTTCAGTTTTGGGCCCCTCACTACAAGACAGACATTGAGGTGCTGGAGCGTGTCCAGAGAATGGCAACGAAGCTGGTGAAGGGTCTGGAGCACACGTGTTATGAGGAGCATCTGAGGGAACTGAGTGTTGTTTAGTCTGGAGAAAAGGAGGCTCAAGGGAGACCTTATTGCTCTCTACAACTACCTGCATGCAGGTAGATACTAATAGATATTAGGAAGTTTCTTCACCAAAAGGGTTGTCAAGCATTGGAACAGGCTGCCCAGGGAAGTGGTTGAGTCACTATCCCTGGAGATGTGTAGATATGGCACTTAGGGACATGGTTTCGTGGTGGACTTGGCAGCGTTAGGTTTACAGTTGGACTTGATGATCTTAAAGTTCCTTTCCAACCTAAATGATTCTATGATTCTAACTGCACTCTGGGCAGATCATGCAGTCGGGGAGTCAGAGGCAAATGAACAGCCCAAAACCTTTTATACACTTTGATTTGGTGTGAGGAAGTGCAAACTGAGGAGAAGCTGCATCTTGATAATTAAGGCAGGAGATTGGGAACTGAATTCTCCAGTGACTTCTGCTGCTGCCTGGCCCCGTTCAGTCACTCAGGTGCAGGCAGGGCTGCTGCTCTCATGCTGCCTTCTGCTACCAGGGTGGGGGACGGACAACTGGGGGAAAAGCCTGAAAAATCACATCAAGTTTGTCATTAAAAATAAAACTATCCCACCTTCTCCCTGGGTCATCCCTTGTCTTTTATACAGTGTTTATCAGCTGTGCTAAAAATTGGTTTTTAATACTTGTGATACTGAATATGTGACAGACAGATGGTTCGAATGTTTTATTTCCTTTCAAATCCACTCCACTGCTCCCCTACATCTTCACGGCCTACCCATAGCACTGGCATTGTAGATTTTTCAGCACATGGTTAGAATGAAGATGTACTACTTTACAAATTAAAGTACGTGGACACGGCCAACATGAACATTGTTTCTTGCCTGCCTTCTCACTGACATTACGCCTTGATTATTAAAAATTCAGTCTCACTGTTTAAAAATCCTTTTCTGTCATACAACTCCAGATCGTGCTTTGGAAAATCATGCAGTTAAACATGAACTGGACAAATATGCAGGGGAACATTTGATAGTGTTTATGTATCAGCTGTCAGTACTGAGGTATTCACCTACAGGTCAAAGAATTCCCAAGCTTTAACAAAGCTGCATTCACGTGAGCTGTTTCATTTACATAAAATGATATTTTATCCTAAAGACCACAAAAATACCTTAAAAGGCAAAAAATAGTCTTAGAAACTTCACAGAAGGCTTCCCCTCACCCCCGCCTCCCGTTGCTCCACCGCAGCAGAGGTTGTGTGCGTGGTGCACGCTGCAGCCCGGAGCCGAAAAGGCACCCCAGAGCCGGCTCTGGTAATATTCAGCTGCAGTCCCTGAAGGTTACTGGGCTCCGTGGAAGTTTGGGAGATGTCTGTGAGGGCTTCCCTGGAGCGGCAAGAGCCGCAAGAGGGCAGGAGAAGGTTGAGTCTGGCTGCGCAGCACGTAGGTTGCAGGCAGCTGCTGTGAAACGCAACTCTTGGCATGCTCCAGGGAGCCTGGGAGACACTTCTCATCTTCTCTCGTTTGTCCCTTGTCTCTCTAAGTTTTGGGGACCTTTTTAGCATTATTCTTTGTAACCATGTGATAGCAAGATGGGTACGGTCCAAAGTGAAGTGCTGGTGCTGGGTGAGGCTCACTGGGACCTGCTCCTCATTCTAATGCTATGAAAAGAGTTTCAACCTTTTACTGCAACAGCAAAATCCAATGGTCTCTTCAAAAAGGACAGTGAAACCAGCACTGACATTCCAAGCAAGTGTTGAGCTGCTCATTTGAGATTTATCTCAGAAGAGGCCGTGATACAAGTGCATCAACAGTCATGCAGCTCTGCCCAGTAGAAAGCCACTGTCACCTAACCTTTCTATGTTGAAGCCACTCCTTACCCCTGGCTTAGCAATTGAAACCAGCTCTGGAACGGCTGTACTCTTCCAAAACCTTTGCACAGGCCTCGCTCATCTGAGCTCTGCATGGAAGGAGTCACAACCATCCTCACAGCCCTGGGAAGACGACTGGAGAACTTGCATCGCTTGCACACCATCTCATACACCTCCCCTGGGGTGCTCAGGGACCCCGTGCTCCCCACCTGCCCCTCTCTCCAATTGCACAGGCAAGTAATTGGTGCCCAAACTCCTTCCCCAGCTTTCCAAGACATTAACTATCAATCAAACTGCTTTAATACTTTCTGGTTACAGACCTCAACTTTGTACAAAAGCAACTGATCTTTAATCAGAGTCTAACTTGGGCTGCTTTATTTTTTCATTCCATATCTGGCTACAATAGATAATGCAATTTGATTGTAAACATTTAAGATATAATTACTTAAGCCCCATTCCCATGCCAGAGGGAGGCACTGTTATTCAGGCATAAGGGAACATTGAAACACAGATTATGACAAAAAGGTCCCTGGAGTCAGGGCTACGAGCCAGCTGCTATGCCTCCCGGTGCAGGGATTTAAAGGAACAACTTAAATCTCCTGATCTCAGTTTTATTTGAGCTATTACTTATATTCCGCACAAAGCTGGGGAAGACTGGCTGGAAAATATTTTTAGGTCTTAATAGCGTCCACAGGTTGAAGGCAAACTTATCAACAAACAGAAAGGGCATGTTGAAATTCTGCTGTTAAAATACTGTAAGAAGATTGTAATCCTTCTACCACTTTCCAATTTTCTCTGCTCATTATGTCTCGGGTAGATTAAGCATGACTCTGTACAGTATCTGGCACTGAAGTTTTCCAGTTTCAGCAGCTTTTCAAATATGCATTAGCTAAGCAAAAATGTTTTCCCAAGGACTCATAAAAATCTGAAAGATGGGAGCAGCCAAGATTACAACATGTGGTCTGCAAACTTTCCAGGTGAAAAGTTCCAAATTGCACTGATCAATGCACTGAGGGGATTAAAAAACCCATCACGAGGAAGGTAATCACTGACCGAGCACGAACACAGCAGTCAATACCTACAGCAAACTCTGTGTATTTTTTTGGTATAACTATACTCAGTGGGACAGATCATAAAAGCAGAATCCTGCAGGGTTTTAATCGAAATCATCCAAAACAGTAGGTGTAATGATTTAGGGAATCTGACAATTTACGTAATCTGCTCACCTCGGGGATTCATGTATTTATATGTATTTATCAGATTGCGACACCATTCTGAATGTCAAGTTTGGTCTATCTGCTGTCTTTTTATCTGAGTGTTAAATTCAGAAATCACAGAGATGGGGCTGGAATGGTTCTCAGGAGGTCACTCGGTGCATCTCCCTTCCCAGAGCAGGGCTAACTGTGCTGACACACTCCTGAGGGTTACAAGCATCGCCCGTCCTTCAAAGTCCCCAGTGATGAGGATCATACACTTTTCCTAAAGAATCTAATCCAGTACCTTTTGCCGCACACCAAGTTTTCCCCAAGACCTACCCAGAACCTCCCCTGCCACAAATGTAGCCAGCTATGTTTGTTGTATCCGGCAAGGACCTGGAGAACAAGCTCTCCTGTCCTCCTTGTATTTCATCTTCATACTTGAAAACTAGTAACACGTTTCGCATAGACTCCTCTAGATTAAAGAAATAAGGTTTCTGGAGTATTCCCCTACCAATAGTCTCTTCTAGGTCTTACATTTGCATTGCTTTCTTCTAGACCTTCTATAGTTAACTGGCATCATTTTGGAAGTGCAATGCCTGAGCTGAAGGTGGTGTATCACCTCAGGCTTTACTAATGCTCTGTAGTCAGGTATGATTACCGCCTCTGCCCAGCATACCACACTTCTGCTATAACCCAAGATGATTGTCTTTCTTTTCCCCTCTCCAAAACACAGCACCATAGATTAAAGTCATTTCACCACACCGCCCAGATGCTAAATGACAGAGCAACTACTTTGTCGCTCATTTTCCACCTCGAACCAGCACAGCTGGTTATCCCACAGCACTGAACTTTGCACTTGTCCTTTCTGAACTGCTTCCTGTCTTTCTTACAGACCATTTTCCCAGTGTGTAAAGACCCTTCAGCAGCCTGGCATCTGTGCTGAGCAACTTCTTACTCCCCTCCAGCCTGAAGACCAATGGTCCTCCACTCACATGGGAATCCCATCAGACGGAGATGACTGTCCCCTCAAGGCAAGCCAGTCTGCTCTCAAATCTGAACTCCTGAGAAAAAGTAAATAACTAACGGGCTCTTCAAGATGAGGACTTAAATTGTTTGATCCAGTAAATCAGTGGTCACTGATGATGAGGGCTAGTAATGCCACCAAAAGGCTCTTTGACACATGACAGTGAGTGGGCAGGAAGGGCAGGGTGTGCTGCAGGATCTCCGGTCACTGTAAGGAGCAGGACTTGGGTCCATGCACAAATGACACCCCAAAGCAGCAGGGAGCTGATGCATCAGCTTCTGCTGGGGCGCTCTCTATCCACAAATTCTTAACGCTTAGTGACACACCTGGACACAGCCTCCAGCTCCAACACTTTACTCAGTTTTCACTGGGAACTGTCACCCAGAATTGTCAACCTTCACCACCATGACATGCGGCAGGCTGCAAGCTGCAAAGCTCAGGGCTCTCGCCTCATGTTACAGTAACATAGGGTGAGTCAGAAAGACTTCCCAGGAAGTCTGAAAGCTCCATCACGGGTAGGTAGACTGGGACAACGCAACCATCACTGTAATTCACTGAGTTCAATTTTATATTTTTTTTTTACATAATGATTAAGCAGCAAAGCCTCAGTTCATTTGGGGAGAGAATTAAGTGACCAAGAACAAATATTAACTAATGAGAGTGCAGTAAGAGACCCACTGCTTTTGCCCATGTGCTACCAGCCTTTCTGAATGAGAGCCCATTGAAAATGGTATAATAGAGGCCTGTAGCAAGGCCAAAACAATGGAACAGCAGTTCTTTCTCAAGCCCTTTGACCATACTGGCAGAGAAATGTGATTAAGATTCACATCAAGAAGCACAGACAGTTTCCACTGCATAAAGACAACCATGGGAAAGCTCTCTCTGAATTAGTGTTGATGGATATCTTCAAAATAATGCAGATGGTTATTTCCAACCTAGATTCATGAATGTGTCTTCCAAGCTCACCATTTTAAGCTAAAAAAGCCAGGAATTTGTTTCCTAGAGCACGAAGACAAACTGCTTAAATTAAGTGTCTCCATCACATGTGCAAGTCCTCAAAAGCCCCAAACCGGTGGTGCAGAACTGCCGCACCATCACGTCCAACTCAGGGCAACAATTTCACATTTTTCAGCCTGGAGGAGTGGCTGGAAATCGGAGTGCTTCTGCCAAGCCCTCAGGTCTGCATACTGAGATAGAAATCTCAGGAGATCAAGCTCTCGGCTTTTTCAGCACTCCTGTCTCTGGATCCAGGCCAAATGGCCACGTCTTTAATCCTTCTGGTGTGCTTCTGGCCATCAGCCTCAGCCAGAACTTTAAACAGAGGAGAAGTGAGGAGTTAAGCTGAGCACATCGGCCCACTGAAGAAGAATCTGTTTCTCAAACCACAACATTTCAAGTGTGATACATAGCTGTGCACCAGCTATACCTGTTCCTGGCTTACTCAACTCTTCCCACTGCTCTTGAAGCAGTCAAAATGAAAAACAGGTACCTGGTGGCTAGCAGGGGGTAGGTATGCAGAGGGCTGAACCAAGCTTCCTTCATCCGTGGCATGCTCTCGTATATTAAGAGGTCTTTCTCCGTCAAGACCACTAACACTGGCTTCCAGTGCTTCTCGTTGTCTCCTGGCACCTGAAAAAGAGCAAAGTCTTACTGAAAGAACAACAGACAGAGCTTCCATCGTGGAAAGCCTGATAATATGACCATGTCAAGTCCTGGGTGAGATAATGAACAAAAGAGAGTTTTACTTCTTTGGCTTTTTGACATCTCCCACTTGAATTTATAACCAGCTGCAGCACAAACAGAGTAAAGTCCAATGACATCTGCTGCTCTCATTAGCACTGCCATTTCCAGCCCCCCTTGCAGCCTTCTCTTACTACAGGCTACTCCATTAACGCAGTCGTGGAAGAACACAGAGGCAGAGCTGGCTGTTCCTTAGCTGCAGTATGTATGAAAGGACCTTAAATGTATGTTTATAACAGGCACCATTCATGTGTAGCTGGCACAGTAACCTGAGCGCTGGACACTGGTGCTGCTGTTTCTATTTTCATGACTGAAAAAAGCTGCAACGTCATCACTATTAAAGAAGAGTGTCAGGTAGTAAAAAATAGTGTTTTGGGAGCAGATGCTTGTTTCCTCAGCTGCTCATGTTTTCATTGCTTCTCCTTCCTTCATACCCTTCTTCCTTCCCAACAGTTTTACAAGTGTCAATTTGTAAAAAGATCCAACTCAGTGATGGATCTGCATCTACTTTTCAAACTCATCTGTAGATGTCTAAAAACTGAGGCATCAGAGCCCTTTACTGGCTGCAGAATCCAGATGTGGAATTATATTTTGCAGGTTAGGCATGTGGTCATCCACATGGCTACAAATTACCATTACGGCGATCGAGCGTGGATCCTGGTTTTTACTTATTCTACACTGGCAGCATGGAAATGTCTTAAAATACACGGGAATGTGAAATGGCCTTAGTTTCAAGGGAGAATGAAGCTCTTGGCTTTCACAGACAAATTCGTAATTTTCCTTTTGGGATGCATAAAGACAAGGAAACCACGTTATGTAGTACACTCACAGCCATGCTTTCAAACCCAAACTCCTTGGCCGGATACTACAGGGAATTAAAGAAATTCTGAGATCTGCTAGAGAATCAGGTTGTCTGCATGATGCCTCTATTAAAACCTTCTTCGGGAAAGAGAAGCACTTGTCTACAGTGTTCTATGGTTGATGCCAGTCTACTTGCTCCAGGTGTGTGTCACCAGGCACATCGCTGGGTGGAGAAACACACAAAAGGGATCAAAGGTTGGCCGGGCTGAGAGTGGCACAGCCGAGAATGGTGATTCAGATCCTTAAGTACGGTATGTCTTAAGTGATGGATTCAGATTGAAAACTGCATTTGAAACACTTGCATTTTATACGAAGAAAGTATCCCACGAATTTCTAAACTTTTAAGGACTTTAAAGATGGTTGTAAAATAGCTTTGCACCAGAACACCAATGCCCAAAGCAAATCTTAAACTTAAACCAAAAATTTTGACTTACATTGCTTTTAAGAGCTATTTTTGCTTCTGAATTAAGCTTTTCCAATCATTATATTCCTGTTCACAGCATTACTTGCTCATTGGTTGTTCATGTCTGTGTGTTAATCAACTTAAACTTGTACAAGGTTCATCCTTTCGACATCTTCAGAAATTTATTTACAATTTTCTTGTGGTGACAGTTTCTTGAAATGCAACCTTTCATTTTCAAATAGGGCTGAATAGAGAAGCTGAATAATTAACACACCTAGTAATACACTCCAGAAAGACTGCAAAATCCAGAGTTCTTGCAGCCCATATGTCACAGAAATAGTCACAAAAAGTATCCTCAGCTTCTTCATACCACAGCTACTAACTACAGCTAACACCTCGCTTCCTAGCATGGGAATACAGAAATAAATGTTACAGTTAATGTTAACATTTAATAAATAAAACAGATAATGTTAACATTTATTTTTTGAGCATTTGCCTGTGTTCTTTAATTCAAAGATTTTAGTACATACTTTTGAAGATTTCCAGAAAAGAAAAAGGAAGATAAATATGAAGTCTACCATAGGATGAAAAAGCAGGAAAAAGCAAGATGTTCAGATCCACAATCTAGAGCAGTAAGCAGGCACCATACTGGGCTGTTACTTCTTATTTTCCTATTTTGTGACCACAAGTAATCCAAAGACTACAGGAAGCTGCACACAGCTTTTCTGCAGAACCATCCTGCCTGTGTAGCATTTCCAATCTCAAGCTTTGTTATTAGGTGGCTGATCAGTCAACTGTGACTCCAGAAACTTTGGGAAACACTGCTCCCTGTAAAGCAACCACAAGAAAGGAAGTAAAATTCATTTTGCCAGCTGGTCCCACAGCTATGTGCTGGACAGCTGTAAACATCAGGAGCCAGAATTTTCAGTGTGGATCCTGTGGTTACCACCTGCACAGCCAAGCTCACAGCTTTGCCCCGGTCCTTCCCAATCACAGGGTGACTACGGAGATGTGGCTTGGTCACAAGGTATTGAAGACTTTTTCTCAAGTATAAGTGACCTTATACTACCTCTCCTTGTAGGATATATCCCCTGTTTGTAGGGCGTACACTGGGAAGGGGAGAGAGAACGATGTTTGCCTGTGTCCTGCTAGGAAGTCCTCCCCAGTAAGAAGGGCCACGCAATTCACACACTTTTAATCACATTTTTTAAACCTTGCTGGGACCATCGATGTCTCACTGCTAAGGAATGCTGGTGTAAGCAATACTGCTGCTATTTCAGACCTGAAGAAGGATTTGCGTGCCTGAAAGCTTGTCTGTTTTTTTTCCAACTGTAACAGCTGATCTAATAAAAGATATTGCCTTTCCTTAAAAACCTTGAATTGCATTACTGTTCCCTGATTTCACTGGGGTTTGGATCAGGCTTTAACAGCTGATGCTGTGCTGTTCGACAGGCAGTTGGCACTTCTGGAAGGTGTCAAAGAGAACACGCTGTCCCGTAAATGGTAATAGCAAATTTTACAAAGGAAGAAGAGCGGCTGCAAATACACCATTAGCCTACAGGGCACATTCAGAACAAAATCAGCATGGGAAATTAATCCAGATCAAGCAAGTGTTATACCAAGAATAACAGCAAATTACAAAACAAAAGCAAAAATCATGCTGCTTACGAGCAGCTAAGTAAAGGATTTGTTCAAGCTTTAAAGGTTTTAAAATCTGAAACATCATAAAGATAACTTGAAATAGTTCTGTAAGATTAAATTTAAGTATCATTTGAGATACATTTTAGAGACACCATTTTAGATGATGATTAGGGCCAGCTTCTTAGCCAGAATTTTGCAGAATTCTGGCACTTGCACTACAGTTTCTTCGCTCCAGTTCCTACTTGCTACACATACAATTCAAAGTGCATTGATCTGTGTTGCGGACAAATAAAATCTAAAAAACTTTTCAAACTCAACTCTTTTCAAAGTCAAAAATGTTAGATCAAATATAGACCAACTGCAGAAAAGACAAACCAGTACTCCTCAAACCTCCCACCACACTAAAATGAATCAGCACATTTTTTGCTGGTCTTCTGGGCACTGTTCAGGTAGCAATAAGCGGCAGGTACCAGTGCCCCCTTTCCATGCTCTGCTCATCTCAGCTGAGGTCACTGCTTACATTCCCAGGTGAAATTCCACTTCAAGTCAATGAAGCTGTAAATGTTTATACCAGAAGCAAACTTGTTTGTTTTTTTTTTTTCTTTCCTACACACACTGTGCCTCTAGATCAAAGTCTTCAAGTACCACTCTGAAAAGGGAGAACATATTCTAACAAAAAACCACCAAGTGTGGTGAAGCATCCTTTTTGCTACTTGCAAACCTCTTTGCTCCTCATATAGTCACGCCGTGAAATGCGTATGTGCACCTCTCTGGTTTACCTTTCCAAATTCAGAAAATATTTCATATATGGCAGGGATGAAACCTAAGTTTTTTGTGTCTAACATGATGGCTGGGCCTGGGATGACACCAGAGGAGACTTGCATTCACATCTTGCTCGGCCACAGGCTTCCTCTGCAAAGTCAGTCTAAGTATTCTGCGTTTCTATACGGACACTAAGGTCCCTGCTGGGGTGGCAAGTGCTGCTGTAACACACACAGCAGGAACAGACATAAATGTGAAGGCAGACAAAAAGCACACAAGAACGGCTGCTGTATCTCAGCAGCTACATGGAGACTTGTCCAGCAACCTTTGGCTGACACAAGAGCAAAAGTGCTTCGATGCAGAAAGCAGATGGCTCACGCAGCGCTAGGATACACCAGACCCCACCGCACTGAGGATGCACCTGAGCTCTGGCTGCTTCTGGAGGCCCTTGCCGTAGTGGGGCAGCATCGCTTCAGCCTTTGCTTTAGGGCAAGACCTGCAGTCTGGAGGACTGACTCTGCAAATAACGTCGTAGGAAGCTCAGCACTACCCGTACGACTGCTCCTGCTGGTGTTTTGGCACCTGCTCACGTGCTTAAGGCCACCGCTTGCAATGTGCCCTTAAAGAGTAACTCCTCTGATACACAGCAAACAATATTTCAAAGCGGAACCAACTTGTTTTTCCTGCAGACGATGGGGACCCCGGCCCCTTAATGGGTATCACAGCTTCAAAATCTTTAATAGTTTTCACATGTAATTACTTGCTGAAAAGACAACAGGCATGTAAGTGGAGATAAATCCTTTTACAAATGGTTTGTCCTTTAGCTCTTTCATCTGCCAGGTCTTCTCTTCGTAAGGTTTTTCTTTGAATTTCAGTTACTACTTCAGGGTGCTAGGAATGGATAAAAGAATACTTCTAATCTATGAGGCTCACAGATAATTAAATTAGGGGCCTCAGCCTACTTAGGAAAGCTGTTTTGTATTTTCATTAACTCAAAAGGGACATTTCAATTACATTCCCTGTTTAGTAAACAAATTACATACTGCCAGCAGACTCCACTGCAGCAAGTATTCAAAATGTGGCCTCTCAGAGAACTGCTGTGAAGGTAGCAAGTTTACACTTACAGTAAGTGGTTTAACCCCCTTTTCCATCATCCCCTCCCAAATCCTAGAGCTCCACTGTCCTCCTCTCCTTCCTTTCAGGAGGAACAACCAAGAAAGATTTTTCTGAAACTTTTTTCTTGCAATTTTCCCTCCTCTCTCACTTAAAAGCTCTCTGTGCTGACAAGAGCCAGCTTCCACACAGGCCGGGATATATTCTGCTACGTATTTCTTGTCTTTTCATCATCTTTTGATGAAGGGCTATGTCCATGTTCAGAATAAATTTGATTCATTTACAGAAACCTACTTGTCAGTTCCTGAAAATAACAGCTGGGACTGAAAAGGATTTTTGCAAGACGAACAGCAGCGATGCAGAAATACACAACGCAAACCCCAGCATATAGAACAACGCTGGTACTTCCGTGAGCTCTTTTGACGGGAGCCAATTTGCAAGGCAGGAGTGGGTGTAAGTGACAGCCGTAGGCAGGGGATAACAACACCTCTCACACCACATGCAGATGAGATGCGTTTTGCTGCTAAACTTTGTAGTTTTAAACAGGAAATAATGTGCACACTGTTGAGGGGGGAAAAAAGCTAATGAAAACGTGTCTGGTTTGGTTCTCTCTCTTTGACCTCGGTGATGGCTCAAAGGTGGCTTGTGCCATTATCAGATCTGGATTACAGTCAGTGCACACACAAAAATCCCCCAAAAGGCACAATATTGCCTCCTGCGAGCTGCGAGCGAGCGATGCACGCGCTTGGCCATGGTGCCGCTGCTGCGTGAGCCGCCAGAGCCATGCGGGTCAGGTGGGAACCACAGCGGGGACCACGCTGATCCACCTCTCGTGCTATCCTGAGCGGAGCTTGGGGGTACACGGGCAGCTACAGTTACAGGCACTGCTGAGCACGGACAGGACACCCATTCTCAGGACAGGTCTGTTCAAGTCTGAACTCCTTCTAAATATCCTTTAAAATGACAGCATACAAACCAACTCTTCTCAAAAGTAACACAGTCAACCATGTCAAGCACGGCAATATGTTCAAGCCAATGTTCTGACTCTCTGGACTAAGAGGATTTTCAAACAGCTTTGGCTCATATCCAAATACCTCTAAATGTCAAGTGAAGCAACTTAGTCCTCTGTACTCACCACGTAAGAATGGCAGGTGATCCGAGACCATTCCTACAGCCAAACAAGAACACCCGATCCCAGTTTTGTAGTGGAGGTTTGCTCCAGAGCTCGGCGAAGTCAATCGGAGTTTTTATAATGACTCTTTAAATTTCGGATTAGGTCCTCAGGAAACAAGCCTGGAGGGCTGCATGTCTCCCATGCTACAGAGAATATTAAACCTGATTCTTCTCGGAGGTGCACAGTGGGAGGAGGGGATTCAACACCCACACGTTGAAACAAGGGAAATTCTGATTTGATACTCTGAGAAACTTTTTCAGTATGTCATCCTGGTCAAACACTAGAACAGACTGAAATGTCCACCCACTGAGACATACATAAGATGACTGGGCAAGGCCCTAAGCAAGCTGGTCTAGTTGGCTCTGCTTAGAGCAGAGGGGCTGAACCACAAGAACTCCCTTCCAACCTATATTATTCTGTGAGTCTATGAAGCACTGGAAAAAAACAAGAAGTTCAGATTTGGATCAGAAAGTTATCATTTAGGATGCCCCTGAGCTAAATTTGGTTGCATTATTCCATACACATACAGTTTTTCATGCATATGTGTTGGATGAATGTTGCATCAACATGAATGCAGTAGCCATATAAAATGGTTATCACAGCTTAAGGGTTTGCAGGATGATCTGCAGTTACCTTGTTCCTTAAATCATTTAGAGCTGTATAAAATGTGTATCCTTGATTCTTGGTAGAGTTTAACAGTCTGGATTTCCTTTGCAGTAGACTCCTTGCAAAAGATAAGGAATGTACGGGAGTGGAAAACCTAGCATCACATAAATGTCATAACTAAACGCACAGAAATCCAACTCCAGAGGGCTCAAAAACAAAAAAAAGTGGTAACTCATTTATTTTAGAAACCTCTACCATAAGCCAGGATCATTTTGCTGTGCATGAAGTTGAGATTTGAACGTCCTTAAGTTAGAGCTCTTTTGCAGTGCAATAGGAGACTCTAACTTTCTGATAATGTCAGGAATCTCTCCTGGGAAGACCAAACAGGCAGAGTGCATAGGAGATGGTAAATGCCCCACACCATTTGTTGAAGACATTGATTGCTCTTCACCTTTGAGAAGGTGAAAGGAACTCTGCTGTGTTTTAAGTGTTCTGACACTTTCTGAGTAAAACACATTTTCTTCTACAGCAGCTTCCTTAGACCATGTGAGCACTGTCTGAAATTAATCAGTGGTAATTTATGATAGCCATGCTTTGCAAACAACAAAGGTCCACTCCTGAAAAGATATAGTGTTTGAGCTAAATGATTTCTGTAGAAAAACCTGCACTTGGCTATTTTTTTTTCCTTTTTATTGCTTCTCAGAAATTGCCAAGGGAGAGCAAGGAAGGGAAGAGGACATTTCATCACTCAAGGGCTGTGGCAAAGAAAGACTTGCTCAACCTGTATGTCACAAGGACAGAGACAGAAGGTAAGTCAGACACATGGGAAGGTCAAAACAGCCCAGCTGGCACTGGCAACTGAGGCTGATCAAGAGATAGTGGACAGGCCAGCCCCAGTTCAACTGACCTTCAAAGCCAGTTTGACTAGGAACAAACCTGTGCTGGAAGAGGTCACATTTTAAGTATTGCTTATGAAAGAGGCACAGGGGAAGGAGGAAGAGAAGGAAGGAAAGACTATTAACCTTGGGCTTTTCTAATCAGTTCTACTGATTGAATGGGAAGCCTGGAGAGTGGAGGTGAGCACAAAGCTGCTATATAAAAGCAAAAACCTGTGCAAAAGCAGAGGCAATCGCAGCAATCTCTCCCTTCCAGCACACTCGCACCACACATTCAGGATAAAAGTGAAGATGTTATTAGCAGACACCTTTGCACCTCTTGTGTGTTGATGCATTCTGAGTATGCATGGCTTATCTATGGGATGTCTGGGCTCTTCACACTGCAAGTGAGGATGACTGTAAACTTGCCTTCTGAAACATCTCATGAACAGGCTGGTGATAGCAACTGCCTGAAGTTTTAATGAGTTTAAACAAAAATCACAGAATTGAAATGTGGGATGAACTGTACTTCTAAGACATAGATGAGCAGCTGTGCTGTCTCCAAAATAAACACTGGACCTCAGAGCACAATAATCCAAGTACTGAGGGAAAAACACTGAACTTCCCCTTAAAACAGAGCAGTCTCCTTCCTCCAGTAAACCAAGCTTGCCTTAGGAAACACTAAGAAGGACCATGTCATGGTTTTGTATCTTCATCTTCAGTTCATGGAGCCATTTTGCACATTGGGGTCAGCCTCAGAAAAAAAGAGATCATATCTATGAATGACTGAGTTAGAGGCAAGAAAAGAGATGAGGAGCTTTAGAAGCTCTACCACATCTCCTGTGCAACTGCTCAAGAACGGATACTGTTACTCAGTGGTGGGGAAAACCAATTTCCCCCAGGTAGGCTCCAGGATACCAAGAACAACCCCTATTCTCTGCTATGCCCTGCAGGTTGCTATATGCTGGAGTTTTGCGGTGAGCAGAGTTTTCTGCTCAAGCCAAGGTGAAGCATTTTATGAGGGAGTTCATCATCATTAGTGTAGTATAATGGTAATTGTACAGGAGCAGAATCAATGTATAGACACCATAGTTTCAACTCACTGTCTCTAAAGAGTCTATAATTTACAATTGAATCTGACTTCAGCTGATCGAGTGGGTACCAGATCAGGATAAATGAGTAATAATACCCATTACCTCGAAAGATATACACATCTCATCTTTCAATTCAGTAGAAGTGCATGGATTTCTAATCATCAGCTCAAGAACACTTGTCAACAGCACCCAATCAAACGTGAATACTGGAGTTTTGATTTGAAAGCAGCTTGCAGTCTTTAATGATGGCTCAAACGTGTAAAATGCCATTTGAAATTATTACAGTGCCTGTTTGGTGAAGGACAGGTAATCATCAATGTCTACATTAAAACTACAGTGACTGAAATCTGTCCCAGAAGATGTTCTGTGCCTTTCTCTATCACACTGTCTTTCTGAATATTCAGCCTCAGAAATGATGGCCCATCATGACAGGTACCTTTTCAAGACTGACAGATTTGACTACTTTACTCAAGAGTCATTATAAATCACAAGTGCTGGAAGAAAAAATAGTAGGGGAGCAATACAGAGAGAACAAGATGCTTCTTTGTCATTGTTATTATGTTGTCTCAAGGACAGTCCAGAATACTGTGTCGTTTCAGTCTATTGTGTCATTGATCAATATTCAGTAATACTGATGGACTGCAATGCAACTAATGACCTCAAGCAAATGAGTGAATTCACTACACGCCTGGCACAAAAACATATTATCTTCAAAAAACAGTGACAAAATCTTTATGTTATGCTTCATCAACCAGAATTTTGAGCATGCTGAGAAACATCTGGAAGCCTTATTGAAAAAGCAAAAATTCAAGTAGAATCCTTAATAATTTGGCTTAATTTTGAAAAAATGTAGAGCAGCCACAGGTTTGTGAAAAGTTTGTTGAACATTAGTCACAATTTGGAATCCAAACCTATTTATTTAGTTGCCTAAGTAAAGATCTATCACAAAAAGTTCCTATATTTGTCTTTTCTATGATTTATTTATTTACCTGGTTGTCATTTTGAAAGCCATTCAATTATTTGAGATCATATCTTTTTTTAAATGGATAGAAACAGAAAGTCTGTATCTCCACCAGCACAATAACAGAGCTCCACAACATATCTAAGATACTCAGGGAATATACCTGCTTTCTTGCTGGGGAAAAAAGGCAACTTAAAATACGTAACTTTCATTAGAATTTGTTTATCAAATTCAGAAACTTCTGATGAGCAGGACAATCTTTTTTTCCCCAGAAACCCAGCCCAGCTTCAAGAGACCTCTGCCCATCAAACACATTTTCAGTTTGCTATGCCTTGGCAACCAGTACGGAGAGCTGGAAGACCATCCAGTAGGTCTTCACGGTGGATCTCAGTATTGGTGGATCCCAGGGTGCCAATAAAGGTAGGAAATGAACAGCTATTCATTTAATATCCAATTCACTTTCTTTCACTCCTTAACCAGGACGGAGTTGAATTTTAACATCTTTGTCCTTTAAGAGAGCTCTGTTTGATTTGGGATTTGCTAGTTTTCTAAGGAATGGGTAAAGAAGACAAAGAGGATCTAATAAAAAGTTCCATCTGCCCCATTGAAAAGCTGAGAATATCCTTTTTCTGCCTTCCAAGAATCATAGAATCATAGAATCATAGA